TCCGCACGGCAGCAGTTCATCTTTTCTATTTACACATTTTCCATCGACGACCTATGTTATTTGTTTTCCAGGGTCGATGCCCAAAAGGACCAAGCAGCGTTACCGTCATCACACACACGGCAACGCGCATCGCACTTTAAATATATATTAATCGTTCCCAATCGTTTTATTTATAACGATGAAAAGCGCGACGTCGAGCTTTACGTTATCTCTCGCAGGACCTCCGATGACGACTGAATTCTCGCGGGTCGTCGAACCCAATTCGACCTAAAACGGTATATACCTTCTCGCGAAAGTAAAAAAATCTCCGAGTGACGCGGTTTCGCGGCGGTATAATGAAACGCAATCGATTCCGAGCGTTTTCAATGTTTTATGCGCTCGTCGTGCTGCAGCTTTTTTTATTTACCGGTCCGGTGAATAAGTGAAGGGTCGTGAGTTCGCTCCCTGTTGCAGAAGTGAGGGGCCTGAGTTGGTGGGGGGGCTTTTTTTTAGGACAGAGAAGGTGTAAATTCGGCGACTTTACATTGAAATGCGAGAAAAAATGAAGCAAATGATATATCCGCAATAATATTGACTCTTGATTAGCGATATGAGCCAGCAAAACTAAACTTCGATACACGTCGACTTTCTTGCATTGTTCGACGGCTAAATTTTTAATTCCGCTTGTTAGTGTATGCAAAGAGTAATTAAAGTTCCGATTTTTGTATTTTTTTAGGTAAATATGAAGAAAATTGAAAACTTATGAGAAATATTATAATTATCATTTCGAATATGTGTATCCTCTTATTTTCTTTTTTTTCGCAAAATAAGCAAATTCACCTTTGATTAATCAACTATTGTCTGATGGTATAATTTCTTCTCTTTAGGTCATTCAAAGCTTTTTTTTATCATAATATCTACGATTGTATACTTTTATTATATTGCTTGGCATATTAACATCCGTTACGAGATAGTTCGATATAAAATATACCACCGAGTTCTCGTAATACGTCTATTATTTGCGCAACGTTGGTTGACAGTTGCATGATAAAACATATATAAACTTGTTTCAAGATATATCTGATATTTGCTAATGTGGGAAAATGTTTGTGCTTAATTCAATGTATTCTCTTTTTTTATGCAAAAATTATAACTCTCTTCTTTTAATAACGCACATAATGCAAACAGGTTTTTTATTTTCGTAACAAATAAAATTGGAATGTCACATATTTTGTATTTAAAAAAATCTGAGACATCAGTTCACCGTTTTGGTCAAGAAAAATAAGACAATCACAAGAATCAGTGCCGGCTATGGTTTAAAAGCAAGAAGCTTGTATATAACGTGAGAGACAAACAAGCGAGCTTCACAGCGAGCATCTCCACCCTCTCCGGTCGACGTTAGGAAAACGAACGACGGAGGCAGACAAGAGATAGGGGGTTCGTAGGTAGGAAGGTACGTACCTACCACCCTTCGTTGTTTCTCGGGACGCGCGCGTCGACCCTGCAAGGGATGGGTTATCCCTTTCCCGCGTTCGTAAAGTAGGAATTTTTACGCGTGATATAATGGCCGCGCGGCTCTCAGCTTCCCGTTTGCCGACGAAGGTACCGGCAGCGTACAATAAAAGCCGCCCGGTCGTGAGACATCGGTTTTTTTATGAAGTTAAAATAACACCGGTTGGTTTTTCGAGAGCTGGTTCGGTCCGAGCGCTCGACGAAGAATGAAGCGATTGGGAATAATCGAAAAGCGATAAAGTATTGACGAATGACTCAACTTTGGACCCAAAATTTAAGTCGAGTGCAATGAGATTAGTAGCCACCGTCAAATGTGACTTTAATGTAACATTGTGCCGAGAGCGAACCGGTATTTTTTTTATATTGACTGACAAAAAGTCAAACAGATTTTCAAATCACAAAGAGATTATTTTACAACTCGACTTTGGAGCTCTCTAAACGCGTGACACCTCTGCTTAATCTTTCGTTATTCTAGTGGATACAATTGGCAATATCTCAAAGGGAAAGAACGTTCGGTCGTGGCGTAATGCCTGTCCTCTTTCATGAGGTCGGTCGTCGTTGAACGGCCACGTCGAGGCCGAAAGCGAGAAAAGGAGAAATATCATCCGACGCGATATGTTTCGTGCCGGACGGTATATAGGGTAGCGTGTGCGGAAGGATCTATCTCTCCCAGATAGTCTGGGTGCTCCCTGTAGTACGAGGGGTGGGTGGCCTTCGCGCGCTGAAATGGCAAAACACAAGACACGGAGATACGGGCAATGGGGTGGGAGGGCGAGAGGGAAAGGCAGGGAGTTCGGAGGCCGCTAAAGGTGGAGGAGGTGGAGAAGGATGGAGCGGCAAAGGGATGGAGGGAAAGAGGAGGGAAAGAGAGAGCTGGCGAGGTAGCGACGTCACCACGGAAATCAAGAGTAATGCCAACACGAAACTGCACTACCCCTCGCGCACCCTTGCCGACCCCTCCTCGCTCCCGTCTTGCTCTCACACCCCTGGCATGCCGCCCCGTCCGTTTCTCCCGGTTCTTTCACCGTCCCTCTGTTTCTCTCAGTCACCCCCCTTCCTCCTCCTCCTCCTCCTCCTCTTTCCCCTCGCCGCGACCTCGCCGCCGCGGGAATCCCTCCCTTCGTCCCACGAGTCTGGTGTGCGCCTTCTCTCCCGCCTCCACGAGTCACCTCGCCCGATCTCACCCACCTCCAGGGAATAACCCCCTCGCCGGTCTCTCGGCGGTGAGCGGGAGTCTCGCGCGCTACTGGCGAACCTCAGTGAGACGAAAACGATAGCGGCTCCCACGAGCACTCCCTACTGTAGCGACTAAGGGCACGCTGCTGGATTCCGAGAATTCTCTCCTCGTCCTCTACCGTTTTTCCCTGGCTTCTCCAGGCAAGCTCCCATCCGTTGAAACCGCTACCGGATAACATCTCCTCGTGAACGCTCGAGAACAAGTACAGAGTTTCTCTTATGAAAGCGTGCTCGCGGAACGTTCATGTTAATTAAAATGCAGAATCTTTTTGCAGAAAATTACTAATACTGCTAGTTGTTCATACTTTTTTAATTAATAGTTGATCAATTTGCTGAATAGTTAATACACCGAGAGATTCTGCGCGAGAATATTAATTTGCTTTTTTGCTTGATAAATTACTATGTAAGAAAAACAATTTAGCAAGCAGATGAATTTTTTCAATATTCTTGTAAGCGACCATGTATATTTATTGCAATTTGCGAAAAAATGTTTCTTGTGCACAGAAACGTGATCGTCAAATAATTTAATTTCGATGAATTCTTTCGATAAATGTTCGTACTGTTGATCAACGAAAATCACAGCGCGCGCGCTTAACACGCGCTCTGTGATACACCAGCGCGGAAAAGGAAAGTGTGCAAGACTGGTTTTTTCTTCAAATCCCACTCTCGAAAATGTGGCCATTCGTATGATCGGCTATATCCGCGTAGCTCCCCAGCAGCGTGGCAAAACGTCTTTTAATATACACTATATCTTCGAAGGGCTGTGTGTTTATCCTCCTTGTCTCTTCTACGAGGAAACCAACTTGTATTCTGATACAAACCAGTTTCTTCGAATCTGTTGTGACATTTATTATCACACGTTATTACTTACGTACGCGCTTGATTTTTTTTCTATTGTATTAACAAATCTGACATATTCATTACATTTTCTTTTTCTCTCAGTTTCATTTCAGAAATCGCCACTTTAAAAACCAAAAAACGTTCTCTTATATAAATCGGATTTAATATTGTCGCCATAAATAACAGTTGTTTCTTTAATGATCTCGATTCACTTTGCGGTAGCTCGATTCATCAAAGTTTATGTACTTCTGAGACATGTATGTAAATATATATCGCGCTCAACACACATTACGTGGCGCGCTGTTGGTATTCTAATTAACTAAGCGAGACCGGCGAGATATTATTCCAGCTAGGAAACGCCGCCGGGAACGAATGGTGCAAGTGTGTTTTGTGTCGGAAAAATTTCCTTACATTCGAAAAGCAAAATGAAAACCGAAGAAGAGAAGGTCGTAGCGGTGTGTATAAGCGGACCTCGGGACAGATCTCTCGTCTGCTTATATTGCAACAGATTAAATTAATTTTGGTAAATTAATTGGTAGTTAAGATGTTTTAGCGTTAAGTGCGAGAGAGTGTTTACCATCCCTCTTCTACCGCCTAGTCGTACTTGCGTTTGCTCTTGTTTACTCTCGCGCAATCGCTTCTTCTTATTTTAACCCTTCTCTTATTTTTTATATCTTGTTACGAAATAGCATACAGAGAAAGAGAAAGAAAGAGAGAGAAAGAAAAAACTTAATATTATAATAAATTCATTAAGTTATTAGAAAGTAAAGAATGTTTAATATTATTTAATATTACGATGGTAAATAATAAAGTCAACAGCTCGTATATTAAAAAAACAGTTTATTCACATCGTCACATAAAAACTATGTACAGATAATATGTTCACATTAAAACTATGTACAGATAATTGTAGATATAAATACAAAAAATAGTTTTTTATCTACAAAATTTTAAGTACTGAAAAAAATACAATTTTTATCAAATATTTAAGATCTGGTCTGATTTTTTAGATCTGGTTATTTTAGCTAGAATCGAATATTTAGATAAACATGTCTTTCAAAAACAAAACATTATTGCAAAGTAAAACATAATAATCTTTCATTTAACATTTACAGAAATTGTACGTGCAAATATATCGCAAATATATCATATTGTAATTAATTTCTCATATGTACAAAAAAGATAAATTCTGTTATACAAATCTATTGTAATAAAAAATCTATTGTGCGTGTTTTATTTTTTAATTTTTGTTCTTTTTAAAATTAAATAAAAGATTATTTTAGTGTATGTTTTTTGACAATAAAAAAAATTAACTATCTATATTATACACTGATTGTATAGCAATTTATAATTCCAAAAATTCATTTAACTTTACTATGTTTTTACTTGACGTATTTAATAACCCTTATTTATTTAAATCTTCAATAAATTGGTTTTTATTCTCCTTATTGTAGTAGAAAAGCTTTCAAAGAATAAAAATGATGATTACTTAAGATTTAACTTAAACGAGACATCTTTTGACCTTCGTTTCACCTTCATTCTATTACCGACTGCTCCTCGCAGTTCTCAATATTGACTGCTGTAGTTATATGTATAATACTATTATCATGTGTCCACGTTTTCAATATAATTATTATTTAACTCCGTCCGTATTAATTGTGCTAACCGCTCCATGGCCTGAAATATAAACAGAGAAATACAATATTAAACTTAATTAAAGATTTAGTGTTAATAATGAAAACATTTTATTGCTACAATTATATGTTTACTGATAATATATTAAATACATTTTGTGTTTAGTTAAATTGAAAAACAAATTATAATATTTACAAAATTCACAACAAAAAATTCAATTTTATAATTTAAACAAAAACGTTTCAGCTACCTGGTCCATTTCAGCATAAGAAGCTTTGGAAAAACTCGCCCTGATGGCGTTGCAGGATTTTGAAGAGTTCTTCATAAATGCTGCTCCTGGAGCCATAATGACACCCTCCATAACACCCCGTTGCATGATCATCTTCCAAGTATCCTTGATTCCTCGTACATAAATCCATAAGAAAAATCCACCTTTAGGCACCTCAAAATCTGCCAAGCCTAAGAACAACACGTAACATTTTTTTACTTGTGATATAACTTAAATTTGTTAAACAGATAGCACGTAAGATATTTCGTAATTTTATGTTTTACATATGTAATTTTTTGTATTATATTTGAATATTTTCTTTCTACAATACACGTAACACTGTGTGTACGATTTAAAAAAAATTACAATTATTATTGTTAAATACGACAAAAATTACTTACCATTTAAATGCTTGTGGGCCAACGCCGAAATAGTGTCTCGTCGTTGTTTATAGAAACATCTTATTCTCATGTAATGTGCCATTAAACCATCGTAACCCCAAAGTTTTATCAGCTTGTATAGTATTACCTAAAGTCAAGTATATTATCAAGTATATTTATCAATACACATGTTTTTTTTTTTTCATTTTTCTTTAGCGATAACAAGCAATCAATGTTCCGCGCGATTACGATAAGACGAACTGACACGCGCCAATGTCGGTTTGGTTTATAAACTCTAATGATTAAGCGCGAGGCATATGCTTCGACGTCTCCCGATGTTTCATCATTCCAGATAATAATATTTGCGGTTATCACCCTTTTTTAATACAATAATCATCTTATTCTTTTGCTTTCAAACGCAGAGTAAACATTCACGCAATGTGAACATACATATCTAATGTGTATTTTGCTGATATGAATGCGACGATGTTGAAAATTATCGAAGTCACAATATTGATTAATAACAATATTGATTAAATGTCCATATTGTGTGTTTAATTAAAAATGATTTACAAATATAAATATAAATTTTTTATCTCCAAACCTCACAGAGAAATCTTATGTGCGAGGACGTTTATATCAACGACAGGAAATTTCAGATCACAAGGGGATGCAGAGAAAGTTCTTCGCGAAGGGTAAGAGCGATTCTACCAACCTGCGATAACGTAGGGGCGTGTAGGTGACTGCTCTGCAAGTGAAGCTCTATGCTGGCTATCAGCGGAGCTGCGGCTGTCATGAAACCTACTCTGATGCCGCTACTGATCACCTTCGAGAACGAATCCAACCTTATCACTCGACCTTCTGTGTCGAGAGATAAAAACGACTTGGGCTCTTCCTGAAAAAAATATGCAATTTTTTTTATTTTAAAAATTATATATTTTATTTTAAAAATATTTTAAAAATTTATCAACATTTTGTCTACTCTTGCGATGATAGAAATTGACAAAAATACGATAAGAAGTTTATATACGTATGTACACTTTTTTTGATAAGTATGTGAAAATATTCATGTATTATTTATATACTGTGTGTGCAACAAAAATTTATGAGTTATATAGATTAGAAATACAAATAAATATACAAATGTTTTGCACAAACAAAGATTAATGTACACGAGACCTATCTCTTTACTATATTCATACATTTATACATATATCAAACAGATTTTTATTGACATTACTAATTTGATTAGTATTACTGAGCTATAAATATTTATAATATATGTTTACGATAGATTATTCTGTTCATATATAAAGAAGCACGATGATCCAATTCGAATTGCAAGTACGTTTTTTGATCATGTTTTAAACTCGTTCATTTTTAATATCTGACTTAATTGTTGCGTGTGAATTATTTGCAATCATGTACATAATATACAAGTATGTATATAATCGACTTCGGTAATTACGCGATATCGTACCTATCCTCGACGTTTATGCGAATGTCCGTATTAATTTTGTTCAACGCACGCAACGCGTGAGAAAAAAAATTTATCCTCACCTTTTCATAATGCAGGAAGTGGTAAGGATCGTCGTCGAGGATCAGAAAGTTATATTCACAGGCTAGACTGTAAATCTCTTTTCGTCTCTCGAGTGGTATGATGACGCCGTTGGGATTCGTGCCCGTGGCGTTTACGTACATTACTTTCGGCATTTTCGCGCCGGAAATCTCTCGCTTCCTCAATGTTTCTCGGAGCACTTCCGGCATGGGACCGTCGTCGTCTTGCGGGATCGATATAAATTCCGCTTTGTGAGGCGCTACCTGCGATTGGAATCAGTGACACTCGGTATAATGTCGAAATAACACACACATGCGCGATTTGATCTTTTTTCAAATTTTTCTCTAATGAAAATTCTGTCTGTATATATTGACTGACCACAACTTCGACGCCGGGATAGAAAGGGTCGGGAACCAAAATCGGATCACCGGTGCCGATTATAGCCTCCAGAGTCTTGCTGAGACCGTCCTGCGACCCCGAGACGACGACTATGTCGCGGCTCTCCCATAAAGGCGGCGCGTGTGCCCTTCTCTGGAATTCCCTCAGGGACTGAAACCAATTTAACGCCCGACGTTGTGTTAGACACATTGTAGTCGATTCTCTTATCTCAAAATGAAAGATCACGAGAGTGTAACGACACGCTCGGCAAAAGAACATTCTCGCAAACACGATACTACTTCTATATATGCGCACGATATAAAGAACAACATAATAACGTTGACTCTCGGGATTTTCGTAATCCCGCTTTTTTTGATTTTATTTTTGCTCTCTTTATCTCGTTTTCGTAGTTTCGCGCGTTTACAAACAAAAGATGTGTAACTAAAATAAGTATAAAATAAATGTGAAATAAAAGTTAACATGCGAACATGTGCAAAACTTGTGTTAGTTATTTTGTTGAGATCGCTCACGGAATATTTTAAATACCACAAAGATCATTTCCTACCTGCACGAGGGGAGGATAGCCTTGCGTGGGTATGTACTGAAGAGCGGCGCTTAATTCATCTTTGTCGAGAGTGAAGGACGAACCGTCGTTGAGTTTAACCGAGAATTCCGAGAACGGAAACGTCAGTTCGTTGGGCATTCCCTCTGCCAAGGAAATGATCCTTTTCGGCGCGGAATACGCTATTTTAGCTAAATTAAATAAATACGCTACTTTAGCTGAATTTCTATTGTCAGTTATTTCGCTGATTTGTTGGTAGTTAATTACAACGATGAGATAATTGGTTTACTCGTTAAAATAAAAACGTTACTTTTTTTTCTACTTTTAATATACATTCGCAATTAGAACAATTTATATTTTGGATCTATTCAATTTATATTGTGTTATTTATCTAATATGTTTCGTGACTTTACAAGCAAATGTATTTAATTTTTCAACATCTCACGTTCTTTCATTGCTTTTTATTTAATTTACCCGCATTAGAGACCTGATTTATTATTATTTTTGCTATTCGCAATTAAATTTTTTTTTACACTATTTAAGGTTTTTTTAAATTTGCAATCGCAAATTTATTATGTTCCTAATTTTTTACCCGATAAATATTGCAACGTAGACTCAAGTTTTCTGAAAAAAAGAAAGTTGATTCTTACTTAGCTCACGCGTCGTAGCAGGTCGTCTGCGTTTGGAGACATCCGTTATAAAGTAAGAATAATCCATCTTTTTAGTTTTCTCCGTTAATCACTCGTACAATTTAGATGGAACTTCAGAATCGATTAAATTTTCACGCGCACAAGCGCGCGTTCGAGAAGAGTTCTATTTTTCGCCGCGCGCCGTACAATTGACTGTCGTTTTAAATCGACAAACCACAATTCAACAAGATCAGTATTTAAGCAAAATGCGAGACGATTATTTTCAAAGATCGACTATTCTTCTCTTTGCGTATTGATATTTTTCCCGTTATGTATATAAGCTAGAGCAAGTTGTCAAGAACATATATTCTTCCAAAGTAAACGCGTCTTCTACCCCTGTCGACACACTGACTGCGCGCTTTGTAAAGCCGGCTTTTATATAAAGCGATAACACAGTGGTTGCGTCAGATAACATAAACATATTCAAAAAGAGGAGCATAGTTTGTGAGTGTGTGTGCGCATGCGTGTGTGTGTGCAGTAGAATGTAATTGCTATAATTTTTTTTTTTAGATACAATTTACACTATTCAAAGTAGCATCGTTTACTTTGGATATCTAAAAAAGATATCTAATCACAGATATCGACTAGATACACTGTTTATTTTAGAATAATGGCTACTTGAATACGTATAACGACAAATTGATATTAAGTAATTAGCTGAAAATAAAAGTCAGTAGTTAAATAAAAGATCACGAGCTGACACAGTTGTGAGAAAAGCGGGAAAAACTAGAGCAAATCCGGGAATACCGGAATGAAGTTAGAGAAAACGCGCGTTGAGAGATGAAATTCCTCTTTGCATCAAGAAAAAGTGCAAATAAGATTTGCTTTATGCGTAAGTATTAAGATATGTATGAGTCGTAAAAATTAAAATTTGCTTCATGTTTTTGATAATAGAGAATATTTTGATCGTGGTAAATCTAAAAAATTTGTCATCAAATTGAACGAAATTAATTCAATTATAACATTTGCTTTATTTTGACATTTGCTTTGCTTTGTGAAAGGCATGTTAATTGTTTTTTGAGACTCATCTGAATGCATGTCTCTATTTTTTTCTTGAATAACACGTTCATTGAAAAACTCATACTTACGCCATATATCTCCGTCATACATTTGCTTTATCTAATATGACCTGTCTCAAATTTCTCGTGTGTTGACGAGATACATGCATTGAACGTTTATCGCCACAATACCATAACATTGACGAAACAATATTTCTTAAGACCTAAAAAATTGATCCTGTTTTCTTCATTTCTTTTTATTATTACTACACTTTTGACAATTTTAGTATCTTGAAAATTTTTGGACATGTAAAGAGAAGTATTCTCTTATTAGTTTCTTTTTTAAATAAAAGTATGGATTTTTTAGGGGATAAAAATCAAGATGATCAAGTTTTTAAATCTGTAGGTTATTTCTGTGTTCTCAAAAAAGTAAAAAATCCTATCTGTCCATATATAAAACTTTACAAAACATTTTGTAAACCGATTTAAAATCACTTATTTTTAGAAAGTAGATGTACGAAATGTCTGAAAAAATATATTTACCGTTATTCTTTTTCGAAATGTCCAAACAATTATCAATTGTACTTCTGATAGAGAGAGAGAGAAAGAAAGAAAGAAAGAAAGAGAAGCAGAAAGATAAATTTTTCTAACACGGAAATATGTTCTTATCGGCGGGTACAAAAGTCTTTTCTTCATATAATGCATCGAATAGGTTTACCAACAGTGTCATGATGTAATCTAATATCGAGAACATACGGTTTCATGATGTAATCGAATACACAGTTACATGAATGAATGATGAAAGACTATACACATAGAAAACACATAGAATCTTTATCGTTCGATATGCATTATCACGGAAAATCGCTCACGAATTATACGCACGTGAATGAAACAAGAAATTTTTTACTAAGATTATTTACTGGAAATTATTTACAACACCGTTTTAGCGGAACAAATACTCGGTCTTCAACGATCTTTACGCAACGTAATTAAATTAATTAGTTAATTACGTTTGCAATAAACAAAAATACGTTAAAAAACACGATTCACGCAAGCAATTGAGCATATTTGGTCGTATCTTTAAATGATTTCCTCGACTCAAGCGAGACGATTACTGTACATGTGCAGAAACTTTAGAAACTAGTGTTTATTTATTTTCACAAGTTTTACATCATCCACATACACAACTTTATCTCACAGCAGACTTATACTTTCCGCGTGTTTACGTATGTATTTTCATCTAATATTTAAAATTTTAGATTTTTGTCAGCGCATAGACGAGATAATAAAAGCGGAGGCTTCAAAAGCTAGTATTTGTGTAAGTTTTGCGTCGCTTACTAAATTTTATCTCGCAGACAAAAACTATTCGTCTCCCACCACATCCCGATATGTATGTGTGAGTGTGTGTGTGTTTTATTTCTATCTGATCTAACACTGAAAATTTCATCAGCTTTATTCTGATGCAATACTCATCCAGAGAATTTACGTCGATCACTTTCACATTTCAATGTACATATGCGCATGTAATGGCGCGGAGGTGGTGGAACGACGAAAGAGATGATTGAAAAAAAGAATGATGAAACGAAATGTTCTTCTCGTAACGATCACTTGCATCATGTTAATTCGTTTTGTTGATTCTAAAAATTGCGGTAATCAATTTGTTTGCGCATTTTCCACGCACGTCATATGTGCGGACAAAATATCTCGTACAATTCGTAACATATCGTGGATACGCACAAATCGTAGAAACAAATAATCACAGACATCGCGTGACATTCGGATGACGTTTTACGTCCGTCTAAAATGTCATTTGTGTGTTTTTTTTTTTCGCGTTGTTGTTACGACTCAGTGTCAAACTCTTAATGAGATATGTGCGTATATACAGTAGAGATGTATCGATTAAATAAGAATATATTTCTATCAATTAAAACAGTTTATTAAATGTACACAGAATCGAGATAAAACAAGAATCAATTCGATTCGATTTCGAATTATTGACATTGTAATCCGCGATTGTTCTCCCTCCACATGTTTATCATCCGCGAGAGCGATATAACTTATTCGTATCACCGGCGTGCGCCGCACGCACAAATGTGTGCACGCACTCGCGCGCACGATGCCTGTGTTTGCACGCGTAATCGGTCGTTAATAACTGACATCGGGCAATTGCAAAATCGTTGGGAAGCCCGATAACGGCAATACGTCAAATCGGCAGCATCCAACCAGATGACGAAACGGCGTCGGATATTTGGGTATGAGATGGGAACACCAATCGCCGCAATTCAAAAATTTGAGTGTTTCCAACGGAAAGCGAGCGATGTCAAAGCGAGCACTCGTTTAAAACACGTTGGGATCTGCGCCAGATTAACAAATTTTTAAAAATGTAAAATTCGCAAAATGATGCTTTCAATTCGTTATGTACTTCCGTAAAAGTCAATCGGTTTGACTTTTGTGTGCAAACAGTGTGATGCAATTCCGCAGAAAAATATTACGTTTTCGAAAGAATATAAAATTCTCAAGGAGAATAAAGCACCGTGTAATTTTTAATGTTCGACACACCCACATTTTTCTGCAGCAGTTTGTTTTTAATTTCAAAGTATCAAGATAATTTCAGATAAAAGCAATTGATAATGATTGTTTTTGTTGAAACGAAATGTGTGAGTCGATAGAATTTAAGATGATTTCACGCTTTTTACATTAAAAAATATTCTACAAAAATATCTATATCAATTCACTTGCGTAACTCTTTGCGTAACACTGCTACTTGTTTTCAAAGACGTCTGCATTGTATATGACACATTTGAGATAACGTTATTGTATTGGTAAAAAACCATATTCGAATCAAAAGTATCCGTTAGTAACTGTTTTCGTTGTTAGAGATAGATCTTGACCCTTTATGTACTTCGTTACATATATTCCAAACTTTCAGTAGCCCGTCACGTAATCCGTCGTGTGATCTGTCACGTAGTCGCTTTGCGGGCAAGACAATAGTCACAGATTTTCTTTAATTCGTCCGAGCTCGTGCTCGATATTTGCTTCGCAACATCGCGCAAACAATTTCAGCGAAAACTTATTGAATCATATTTTTCACGACTTGTTAACAAAAAATATTGCAGCTCAACTCGCGCGTTTACACGATGTTTGGACGCGATAAAGTGATTTTTCTCGCACCGCACCGCGATCTTCCTGCCTTTGTTGAATACGTCAGTGCTGATAGTACCGGAATAATAAGTTCCACTTTTCTTCTCACACCGACCGCGGTATTATAACAGCTTTATTTTTCCTTTTATCACGGGTTATCATATTCTTTTCTAGAATCTTGTCCACAAGGACGCTGACACTGAAACATAAGTTCATTATTAATATTGTATAAATAATGTTGAATTATTCTTGGTTGTTCCTCTCGCAACAATGTGCAGACTTAATTCTGCCACGGTTTACATCACCAAGCCCCTTTCGATACTGAAGAGAGAAACTATGTATATGACACGATAGTATTATCGTTCTTCCACGCTTGCGTACGAAATCTTGTGTCCGCTCGTAAGCAACAATAATTATGTAAAGATCGAGATTACAGTTCACGAGCAAAACTGTTTTTCGTCATTCTGCAAAACGCTTTCGTCAAATGTGATATGAAACCTAACAGAATAATCTTATTGCAAAAAGCTGAAAAAATAAATTTCAAAATCGATATGATATAAAGGCGAGTGAAGATTGCTGCAAAAATATAACAGAATTGTGTCAAAATTATTTTTTCTTTAAACCGCATAAATAATGTGGATCAATAAGTATGAATTAATAATACAACGAAGTAGAGATCTATTTACACAATTGCTCTAATTTTCTGAAATTCTCGAATTTTTTAAATTCGATAAGTGGAGCTCTCTGATCCGAAAACAAATGTTCTTCTGTAAAAGTTTGTTAATCTCAAGAATCATATTGATTTCGGGCCAGTTAGTACCAGTTCCTACATGTAATCGTAGATCTAAAACGATAAAGTCAAGTACCGATTAAATTTCGTTTAAGAACTCACTTCACAGAGAAAGACTGTCATACTCATTTAATATTATCCTATTAAAGACAATATATATACACACTCGAATTAATTGTGTGACAAACGTAATTTTAATCTAAAATCGCTGCTACGCAGCGTGTGTTTTACATATTTTAAAATAGTCCCTTGTCATCGTGCTCATCTGTGTTGTACAACTATACAATTATTTATCCAACGATACGTGATTATAATATTTTCATTATTCATGCGTTCTATTTGCATTTTTTTGTGTATTATTAAAACGGCAACTGTTTTAATTCATTTGTATTCATATATTATCGACATGAACTAAATAATGCTAT